CGTTTTCGTGCGTCTCCGCTATTCACTTGGTTCGTTTGCAAGCGACTCACGCATGCTACAATATATTTTACATGCCTAAAGTCATTTGCTTTGGACTATAATACGCTAGTGCTTGCTAGTCGCTGCTAGTTGCTGCTAGTTTCACTAGTTTTTCTAGTATGAATGTCCCCTAGTGTAATTGCCAGTGTTTTTCGAAGAACAAATTCAAGAGTTATTCGTCAAAATAGGAGACTATATAGAAAAGTGAGAAAAAAATTCATATACACAAGACGAACCACAAATAATCCTTATCGCATCACAAATTTGAATAATGGAATTTCGAAACAAATTCAATAGAATTCGAAGTCTATCCGGAAAATTGAATATAAAATATCAGCTATTTAAATGAAGTATTATAATTGTTTGCAGCTAGGGTATATTCATACTAGAAAACTTGTGAAACTAGTAGCAACTAGCTCCAACTAGCAATGTTAACCAAAAAATGTTTACATTTTCAATCCAAAATTTCACTAAAAAAATATTCTATAATTTTTTATTGCACACTATTATATTACTTACTATATAATATAAATAAAAAATAGTTTTTTTTTTTTGTAAAATATCAACAATTAAAACATAAAATTCACACTAAAACTCATCTATCTGCATTGCCATCACTGTTGTTGTTTCCGTATGTCATATGATACGTAATCGTTACGAAAATATTAATTGGGTTCTATATTTGAAATCGTGAAGTGACAGCATTTGCAATTTTTTTTATTGCACTAAAGATATATATATATATAACGGGAGTAAGACGAACTTTTCCGCACGATGGTAGTTGCGTATTTTATTAAGCAAGTTTCAAACCTTTCAAGCAGCGTTAAGTTCGAGACCAAAAAATATGTTCAAACCTTGGCATCGAAACATTCTTTAATTTAATAGCAGAAGTACTCGCAAAAGATTTTTCACACTTTCATGATGAACCCACTTGTACGAAATTTGAAAGTATTCTATTTTCTAACAAAACACTATAAAAAATATGTCTTACGTTGATTTTGTCATAAAAATTATTTTTGAAACACTTTTTATGCAAAAGTCACAAAAATTTTGGATTTTTGTATGGGAGCCATGTCTTGATGCTACCTCAATGACGTGAAACTTTGCACAAGTTATTTTTTTCACAAAAAAATAACATTCGGATGGTTTGGAGAAATCAAAGAAACTTCAGGGTATATCTCCTGAAAATTTTGTATGGAAGGTACCCCTAATTTTGATTGAAATCTCTTCAAACTTTCAGAATGTTTTTTTTTTTGTGTAAAAAATAGTCTGTGCAAAGTTTCACGTCATTAAAGTAGCATACAGACATAACTCCCATACAAAAATGCAATTTTTTGTGATTTTTTCAAGGAAACTGTATCAAAAATTGATTGTATCTCAAAACTTATCTCGGATTCGGTTTTCTCGTACCAAAAATCTCCCCAATACATATTTGTGAGAGTTTAAGTCTACATACGAAAATTGGACTCTTTTTCATAGGTATCACTCCAGGCATGAAATTTTTTTCCATCAACCAAAGTCGCTCAAAATCTAATGATTTCTATTCCTCGCGACCTCCAATCAGTCTGTAAAGTCAGATTTTGAATTAAATTTCTACGATGAGCGCAATCTTGCTAACAAATTTTGCGTACGACGTACAGATTAACAAAAACCATGTTTAAAAATGCCAAATTCGTGTTCTCTGACCTCAATAATAGGTAGAAAACATGTTTCTGAAGTTTTCAAAATTTTGACCGATTACAATACTTTTCACCTTACACTATGTGTGCGGAAAAGTAATATTTGAATGCAATCAAATCATGGTCTGGTATTGCGACTTCATCGGAATTTTGTAACCTATTACATACGACAGTTTAAAAATCGCTAAAGCGGAGAGAACCAGACCCAAAAGAAGTTGAGAAATTGGTTTTCGGAAAAACAGCATAAGAAATTATTGAGCGCAAAAAGAGAATATAGCGAACTTTGAGTAAAAAGAACACATAGAAAACTGAGAACAAAAAGAGCACATATCGGTATGGTGTTTTTGCGCTCAGTTCCTGTATGTGTTCTTCATGGGGTCAATCACGAAATTCTAGTGTATCTAGTTTTTAATAAGATTTCACTAGAAAACTAGAAAATTCTAGTGCGTGAAGTTGGCTCTCAGTAGTTTTTCATATAAATTATATGGCCTTTGGTGTGAAGTTGGCTTCGTTTGTGACGTCATTATTCGCACTAGATTTACTAGTTTTTCTAGTATTTACTAGCGTGATTCGCCCCATGGTGTTCTTTCTACTCTAAGATTTTATTTGACTCATTTTAGAACTGAAATTATATATGTTTCAATTTGGCACCCATAAATATTTTTGAAAGAGATAATGTTGACAAATATTGTTGTATTTAAATCAAAGTGTTTGAATCAAAAGATTTGTTTACAAGGTACTAAAATGCAGCAAAATCAAATACTCAAATTTCACATCGCCACTGTGATATGCGGTGTATACTGCGATTCCTATATTAATGCATTGCACAGTTTATATCAAATGTACACACCGGAGTTATAAAAATATGCTGACTCGTCGTATTCACACGGAATTTCATGTTGTGTATTAACTCATCTGTGAAATTTTTTTTATTGATCTGCGACGACAACTATTCGTCGATTTCTTAATTCAATTTTTTTGGTTATTATTCAGTTTATTATTTGGTGAATATCGACTGAACTATGCTAAACTGTTTCTGAATATAAAACCGAAAAATTATTGCAGATGAAATGGAACTGGCTCCAGAAATAAACTTAATTTTGCCAAAAAGTGTTCAAAACGCAATTCGTAAGTGTTCGCAAAAGTACTGCTCCAAAATCGATTTGCTCAAACCAAAAATGATTTTCGATTCGTACTATTGTATTAAAAATCAAACTGGAGTCAAAATACGCTGTTCCTTCGATCACAGGTTGAAGTGACAAAAGTAAAAAGTTATCGCTTGTTTGTTTTGTCGCTATTCAAATTTGTATGCTGAGTTAGTTGTTGGTTCTGAGGACCTTATGTGCTCTCTTTACTTTAAGTTTTATTTTGTCGCCTTTTTCATTTAAAAAAAAATTCTTATGCTGTTTTAGCAACAAATGATATTAACCTTCAATCCTGGCTGATTTAAATGAATTTAAAAAAATAGAGATTTTAATAATAATGATAATAATAATAACAATAATTATAATAATGACTTAACCGTATTAAACAAGGAGAAGCTCGTTTCGCTCGCTCTGAAGATTGGCTATTTATGTTTTGTTAACATTTTTTAGTTTGTATGACATTTTGTGTTGCAAGTAATTTTTTGCTACATTTTGTGTTACTACACATATTCTGCCTCGTGTATCACTCTACCTCCCTACATATTTTTTCAATAACGGAAAAACAATACTACATATTGTAAACGGTCACCTCTGAATGCAAAATCTGTTGTCATTCATGGTAAATTAGTTTTTTAAACAAAAAAAAAAAAACTATAATTATAATATAATACCAGTTTTTCGAGAACGAAATTTGGTTCAATATAGCCGTTTTTCAAAGCATGTATTTATCACCAACTCTTTAAAGATGAATAAATCTAACCGATTTCTCGAGTTAAATTACATTGTAATGGTTTTTTCTCATTTCATTTGGGAAAAATCATCATCTATTTGTCTCTTTTCATTTTATATGTCAAACGGCCATCGACGGTGAGAAATAACTGCGTCAAACTTCTTTCAGTATTATATATATGTATTGGTGTGCCTTGCAGCATATAATCACAACACTTACTTAGCAAAAATGTTATATTTGCTAATGAACTTAATTTGTGAGTAAATGTATGTGAGTAAATGTCAAACATATTTCAAAAATAGAAGGAGACAATTTTTTTGTCTTTTTAAGTCTCGAAATATAGTCAAAGATGTTAAGTAGAGTAAATATTTCTGAAGTCGCATTTTTTTTAATATGCTTTATTGTTTTGAACGTTTCAATCGAAGCAACAACATTTGATATGAAAAAATCTAGAGAGATGGGAAATTGTGAACAATTGCCAGTAAAAGTTTTGAAGCGAGTTCACGGGCCGGCATTTGATGCTCGTTACATGAGTATAGAACAACCATTGGATAATGATGAATTCAGTAGATTCGATATAATGGATACAGTGAATCGTAAACGAAATATCGACGCAGATAGGCCATCATTTTACTTAACCGACAACCATACAGAAGTATTGAGTAATGAAGCAGCATGGAATATTCAATGGGATACATTTGAAATACAAATAAATAGTCAATCACGTAGAAAAAGAAGTTTGTTACCAATTGGCAACGAATTTCAAGATTTTCCAATTTCTTCGGGTAATTTGAAACAGAACAAACGACAAAGTCATGCGCATAGCAAGAAAAGTGACAAAACTGAGCCATGGCAATGCGAGCAAAAAATTAAATGGATTCATCTTGGATTGGACTACTATCCATCTCATCTGAAAACTGTCAAGTGCACAGAACCTAAGTGTTTTTACAAAATGCACGAATGTATGCCAAGACATTTTGCCGTTCGATTATTACAAAGACGTCGTGGTGCATGCGCAGATGCCTCCAATCTCAAAGCATATGGTTTTTCAGGCCCAAAATATGTCGAGGTATGGGAGTGGATTGAAGTTGCTGTAAATTTCTGTTGTGTTTGTGCTGCCGCATCAATAAATAATTCATAGTTTTTTTTAATGATTCTCTCTTTTTTTTTGCAATTATATACTAATTATATTAAAAATTTAAATTATCAGATAGGTTTGTGTGGTCTACTAAATAAAGTAAAAATAAATATTCCTAAATAGAGTTTTTTCATGAATAAGAACAATTAATAAAAAATAAATATTCAATATAATGATGCTTTGAATTTTTCTAGCTAATTCATTGATTCGTATATTGCGAGTGGTTTTTTTCAAGTGATTTGTATTTTTCATACACATTTTCAGTTTTGTTATTTGATTAGAATTAACTAATGAATTAAGCATGTTCATTTCTCTTGAAAATTGTACATAAAAAAATTAAAATTTAAAGAAAGGAATGCTTTTATTATTCTCAACTGAGAAGTATCGATTTAATTAAAATTTTGCAGTTATCCATTAATGCGTGTAAATTAAAAAAAAACCTATTTCATTGAAAAAACTAATACATTTTTAAATTTAATTGCAATGCAATTATTTTTCCTTTGAACGTTAATCCTACCCATTCACAATATTTCTTCGAAGTTCGGTGGATCATCAATTAATTTTTATAGTGCACAATGGACCACGCGGAATCAAAGAATAAAATCACAAAGAGGAGCTTGTGTGTATGCAATTCTAATCGGTATTTGAAATTCATTTGCCAATGTATTTGGGTGTGAACATTTCAACCATGAACTAAGGATCAATTTTATTATTAAATTAAAAAGACCGAGAAATACATATTATCTTTAGTCAAATACTGTGTTTGGTGCGGAAAAACAGTTCAGGTTGCTTGATCATGCTTGTCAATCATTTTGAAGATATCTCCGCCATTTAGCTGTCGACATCAATACTTGATGATCAAGTTATGCGACGTGTGGTTATTTTGGTTGATCTGGTAATTTCAGGGTTTAAATATTCATCGAATTTAATCAATATGTATCGACTTGTAAGTTTATATTTAGAAACAGTCCCGTTGGATTCAAAGACATTAACGAAACACATAAGTATGAGATAAAAACAGACATGGAGACAGAGAAACGGGGATATTTATAAATTCAGATATGCGAATAGCATCAACCTCGTTTGTGCTTGGCAAAAAAAGACATATTATATGTAATTAAGTATTGTGTATAAAACTGACGTCTGTTTTGTTTCAAATGAAGAAAATGATGAAATATGTACCTGTTAAACCATATTATTTTTATTTATTGCTATTGGATTTCGTTTCTATTTACCACTTGAAAAATTTGTTATTGTGTGATTAGCAGCGTTCGCAACACCGACCGACCGCCGACGCCGATCCGAGGATGATCGGAGAACAGTCGGAGTCGGAAAGAGTTTTTCATCAGATTTTTTCGGAGTATTGATCGGATGTTCGATGATGTTTTCACAAAAATGATAGTATTATTGTTTTCACAAAACTAAGAAATAGTTTTTTGAATGAATTTTTCGTAATTTTTATCTCTATTTTAATTAATCGTCATATTTTCTCATGACTATTATTATTCATTCGTTAAAATTCAGATTATTTTAAATTCTCGTTTAAAAATAATAAATCTTTCTATTAAAATTGGTCTGAGCTCCGAGCGCCGAAGTACATCCGACCACCGATCCGATACAGGTGTTGGTTGGTGTCGGAGTCGAAAAATCGCCGCCGTTGCGAACGCTAGTGATTAGTCTCTTTTTTTATGAATTTGGTTTATGACTTTGAAGTGATTATTTGGTTTGCATTTACCTCTTTTGCCTGTAATTTCGTACTATCTACTAATTTTGGACTTACACCATTTCGTTGTTGAAACTATAACGAGCTAACGTTCATATAAAATTCGCAAAATAAAAAAATATCAGAATAATATCCACTAAACATAATCATCTTCAATAAAAAAAAATGAGATGGACGAAACAAAAAATACAATCTCATACATTGCAAATAAGTTACATTCAAATTCATTGATTCGTTATAAACGCACCGAATTTATTCATTGGAACAGTTTGTGTACCTGTCATCCAGTTGTCAATCTTTTTGCAGATTTGTATGACTCAAATAAACAACGTGAATTTATTTATGACTATGTAAGAAAAAAGTCATGTCTACGCAAACCCAAGCCCATTTCGCATCACATTTTATAGCATTGACTGGTGAGCATAATCCATTATCGTTGTAACAATCGCATATTGTTTAAAAAAAAATATATTTACTTTTCACTTCAGAAAGAGATTATCAGCTTAACTTGTAAGTGTAAGAAAAACGTTCTTGTGGCATTCTACGCACCCAATTATTGTTAATGGACAAAAAATGTCGGTGTGCATTGTAAGATTTGAGAAATTATTGTGTGCATGAAAACACATGATAACATAGAATATTTTATCCGTTGAGCATAGCTTTTATTATAATTCGAGTAGTGCTTATCTATAAGTAGAAAATTCAAACAAATTAATATGCTAATTAGACTTATTTGATGCAATAGCACAAACGAATGCGCTTTTAATTTTTTTCATTCTCTTTCATCTTTAATTTGTGTAACCGTTTTGAGGTCTGAATTTTCTTTCTTCCAATTGAAAAATATATATATGTGTGTGTTAGTATACAGTGTACCTCTTTTTTAGCGCTACATGAAATGTAGAGCTATTGGATTTGTTTTTTAAGAGTGATAAGATTCTATCGATTTCAGTATAAAATTTATGATTTAAAACCAATTGAATTTAACTTTTGGTTCTTCATAAAATGATCCGTTTTATATTGCGAGTTGAAAACATATCTATACCTCGGCCAGTAAAGCAATGCGCAAAACAGGCCAGAACGCTTTCAAATTGCATTGATATTGTTTATACAGTCGAAATTGATCGAATTCGGTCATTGAAATAGGTTTAGAGGTGAATTATAGTTCAGATAAATCATGTTTCATATTCATATTTTGGCCCCATGTTCATTGCTCACAATTTGCTATGCAAATGACAGTGTTCCAGCTATACGATGCGTTCAAATGGATGTATACCAAAGTGGAATCACATTAGTTTTGCTCTGAAAGTATTCTAACTTCAAATGAGATTAATTTGTGGAGGTTTGTCGTACCTTTGGAATTTTTTGTTAAAAAAATGAAAATTTTGCATGGAAATGTGTTTTATTTTCATCCAAATCGTTTGAAACCTCACCAGTGGCAAGTGTTTGATGAAAAATGACGATTACCATCAATTTTTAATCGATATGGTTGTGCAAAGATATTTTTATTTTAACTGAAAATGTCATTTTTCAATGAATTTACATAATGACCTACCGAGCTTTAGCGGCACCAAACTTTACACACGTTATTTGCACACCATATGGAAAAGTATTTCGGGGTAAGAGCGAAAAAATTTCAACTTTTGTGTTTTGGGGGCCAGTCTAGTGTATAACCATATGAAATATAAGTGTATCGTGCAATGAACACATAAGTTGGAATTAATTGAATTATTATTTATAATTCGTTTTTCAAAATAAATATCGCATTCAAACACAATTCATTGTAATGACATTATCGAAACCAACTGAAACACCAATGAGCGCTAATATCGTAGATTTTTCTTTATCGATTCCACCAATACGACATCTACTAAAAAACTCGCCGATTTCTGTTACTAGTGGTGTTTTAATACAGCTCGTGTAAACGTACAAAGGAACACACTGATTCCGATTCTGTGTATGCGTATGTATTACAAATTCTGCACTCAGTCGTCAATCGTAGCTGCTTGTGCAAAATTTACAATACATACGCATACACAGGATCGGAGTCTGTGTGATCTTTTGTATTAGTTCGTCTGTAATACAGCCATAGCCGTATAGTTCGCTCGAGCTGTGTCAAAGCAACAGTTGTAACAAAAATCGGTATCTTTTTTAACAGATGTCGTATTCGTAGAATCGATAAAATTAATTTGTATGGAAAATATACGATACTAGTTCCCATCGTGAAACACTAACATAGAGAACTAACTGCTGAACAGCAGTTACCGCTTATTTTTTTTAAATTTCATAAATTATTTTAATCCAATTTAATTTTAAAAATAATAGAATATTTAAAAGAAAATCGAAACTTTTTCTCACTTCTTCATTGAATGAAACTACAATCCCTATTAATAATTTTTTTTTAAAAAGTTAATTAAAATATAAAAACAATATTAAAATTTAAAAATAAGTGAAAATAAAGAAAATAAAATGAAAACAAAAACAAAGAGCCTTCGACCTTTGTGTGTGTGTATATATATTGGTGCTGCTTTGCAGCGGTATAGGCGTATACAATCATACTAGCCGCTGAGTAATTGAATTGTAATATTTATTTTATTACATAATTCGTCACAATATTCATTTTTTCATCTTTTTTGTTCACATTTACATTGCTATTTTATATTTATAAATATATCAGTCTCGTACAAAATGTAATACAAAAACTCTCAAGTATAGTTTTGTTAATAGGGATTGGAATGTTTTTCATGTGGCCCACCTGTCAAAGCGTTGTCGTCGACTTGTTCGACGGGTTTGCTCTCCGTGTGTAAACGTAAAGTAAATGCGTCTAAACGTCCATGGGTCGACAAAGTCCCTGCTGTTGAATTTTAACCAAGCCAATCTTGATTTTGCCTTAGCAACAACATGCTCGATGTGTGATTAGAAATTCATCCTTACAATCAAGCAATACTCCCAAGTCCTTTATTACTTCAACTCTTTCAATGTGCACGCCATCTACGTTGTATCCACGATGATATGATATTAGTTTTGTTTTGTTAACGTTTAACTTTAATAAATTGCGTCCATAGTAATCTGCTACACGATCCAAATCCCTTTGAAGATGAATGCAGTCATCTTCTATTTTTATACATTTTGAAATTTTGGTATCATCAGCGAATGAAAGGATGCAAGAATTGGTCACGACGAAAGGTAGATCAATCACAAACATGATGAACAAAGTTGCGCTAATGGGATAACCTTGACCACTATCAGACGTTACTTCTATTGAATCTGATTTGGTATCTGATATCTTGACTATTTGTCTGCATCCAGACAAATACGATTCGATCCATTTTAACAGCTGTGTGTTCAATCCCATGATGTT